GTCACATTGTTAAACCCCGGCTTTTGCAGGTCCTATGCAACCCATTTGATAGGCGACGCACGACGGACGACGCACGACGGAAAATGGCATGTTTGGAACTGGTAAATGGCAGAATTGGGACACAAGAAAAAGCAAAATGCGACGGACGACGGCAGATATGGAATTCCGTAATTTCTAGGCAAATGATGGTGCAGGTGGATGGTGTGCACATTTGAAAATGAAGAAGAAATCTCATTTTTAATACATGCGAGGGTTGATTTTCAATAATGAAGGCGCTTGTAAAGCGCAAAAACGTCTTTTGACAACGTAACAAAATTCAATACAGGAATTAAACTTTCTGTCAACAAAAAAAACGAAAACAATCGCCGAATTCTTCCATTCCTCAAGGTGGTTTTATTTCCCAAATAACATAATTGATAACAGCATTAAGGATTAATACAAATTTCAGACTGAAACATAATGTAGCACTTCACAATTAATTTTGAGGTGGGATATTAATTTCAGTTACTTATTTGCTTGATTTTTAAACACTGCTTTGAATACTTTTTAAATAAATGCTTCATAAATTTATACATTTTGCCCACACCTAAGGGTTAAAAGGTAAATAAATGAATTTTTTTTTCCACATCGTATCTTTCAGAATATAACTACATATTTTACCGGGCAAGTTTTTATCATGCTTTACGATGTCGAGTGAATGCAGTCGAAACCATTACTAAAAACATGGACGGCTTGGATTCCAATCCTCAAAGTATACATGTAAATACACACCATCCAGCAATATCACCCAGTATTATACGAAGTTATATGCAAATGAATAAATACTAAAAGTAAATTTGGCCTTGTTTTTTTATTGCTATATCGTTTGAGATTAAAATCATCTTCGAACGCTACAAGCGCGTAACTGCCCTATTCTCATGACAAAATCATTAACCTAATTGTCAGCCTCACAAACATGCTTGATTAAACTATTATGTTCACAGCAAAGCGAAAATCAAAATATCACAACCAAATGAATCCGACTACAACGCACTTTTGTCAATGAAACAACCCTCATGCACTCAGCAGATTAAGTTCACATCTTGACACGACAAATTTAGTTAGAATTATAAACCTTTAAATTTATGTAGTACTCGCTGTTAGTCATTTGTACACTTATGACTTGCTCTAAAGATCTATGACGTCAAGTTGGCAATCACTTTTAACAATTATTTGTACATCAAGTTTCCTGTTATTAATAAATCAACGAAGTTTACTAAGGCATGACACTCCCAAGGTCATTTATTACTGTCTGGTGTACCAGCTCTGAGTTTCAAAAATAATGCTCTAATCAAGGAGTACCAAGAGCATGCACAACTTCAATTCTATAAAATCCACCATCTAACAAATTTCTTCAAGTGAAAATGATTTCTGTAGATGAAGCATTAAAGTAAAATGGCATGCGTTTAACTCACAGAGGGCAACATAAAAACACTTTCTTGAATATCTCCTCAAAGCTCATCATCTTTTATATATATATATAATTCGCACAATTGACACCACACTATACATTGCATGCTTAACATCTTATCTTACATTTTAAATACAAATCACATGATACAGCCTACACGTAAACTGCATTAAAGTCAACATCAGTTTCAATACTAGAGAGCCACTACTTGTAATATAAAAATAGTTTCTATGTTACAAGGCTGTCCAAAAACCATTCAACCAAAAACCTGATTTCTTTTTCCTCACACAGTCAGTAAAAAGTTTGGACAAAAGACTTACAAATGTGATTTTTTTAAAACTTTGCCTGTGCCTGGATACCCATTCTGAGGCCTTAAACCTTCATTGTACATTCTGAAAAGAAATGGAAATGTTTCACTGATCAGTTGCCAATAAAAAAAAAATACAAAAAAAACTTTGTGCCTCAACATATTCTGCCATCACAGCTTATTTCACAAAGCTGCAGTGAAGAGCTAGACACTTTGTAGGAGACTCGATCAAAGGCAAAGGCTGAAAACATTCTTGGCATATTCTCGACACTGTGCAAAACACATCTAAAGCATTATACACTAACTTGAAGAACCTTTTTCAATCTACGAAAAAGGAATGAGGCAATAAGGCCCCCTGACACACTATTAACGAGTAGTCCCAATCCAGTGATTGGTTTAAATCGATTCTGGGTGACTCTTGGCTAAAACAGAAAAAAAACAGATGAGCAAGCTGGCTATTATTCCAGACGTCACACTATTCTGGCTTTGCAGAAAAATGACATCTGAGTAAGAGTCTTGAAGTATGAACACTTAATGGCTGAGTAAATGTGAACTGCATTTAAAATAAAATGTATAATACAGTCACAAGATAGAGCCCCAATATTCCACAGAATCTCATCTGATAGTCAAAGGACAAAAGGGATTCCATCTAGCACATGGAACCCTGACCACACCAAGGGTAGATCCATAATCTACTTTTTTGGGGAGGGGTCAAATTTTTTGTTATGTAACTCTTCATGGCCTGTTTGAGGAGTGACGCTACATCTTGGGATTTTATGTGTGTTTTGAAGAAAGAGAAACGAAATAGACACCCAAAATAATCCCCTTTCTGTAATTACTCAAATAAAAAAATAGTATTCTTGTGTTTTGGGGGCAGGGGGAGGAGGGCATGCACCCCCCCTCCATCCACCCTTGGCCTGCACATGTGTATATTTCGCAGCATTACAAGTGCAGGATGATATGCCTATTCTCACATACAGTTGTACACATAAAAATGGATAATAGGAGGGGTAAAGATCAATTGACCACTGCCTCTTGACAAGCACTGCCACTTGATTTCCCCCAATTGTTTTCAGTAATAGTCATTCACAAGTCTCTCTGTGGACAGCGTGGGTTGTGAGGGGTGTCTGTGGGTGTACTGCTGTTCGCCAAACCCACCGATGGGGGGTAGCTGGGGGTTGTAAGCCATCTGGGACATACTGGTGTCATACACCTTGGCCCGGGGGCCCCTGGAGTAGGAGGAGCCAGAGCCCATGTCGTGGAGCTCAGCTTCCTCTTGCCGCCGGCGGGACTCATAGTCCCGACGCTTCAGGCCATCCTTGACGTGGCCCCAGTTGGCCGACCCACACATCAGGAAGTGAATCTAGATAGAAATCCAAGCCAGGAACTTGTTTAACAATCAATTGCATAATTAGTATCACGGACGAACAGATTAGAAAGTAGCCACATTTCTCATGAGGACTTAAATGACAATGACTTCCATCCAAAGAGCAACAATACATTTGTGCCTCAACCCCCTGAACAAAAAGGTGATGCCTGCAAAAGCACCATGCAATAGTAAATCTATGTTGTAAAATTATTCACATCTCAAAAAAGAGATAGCTGCATGGTGCTAGTGCTGACTTCATACAATTATTAGAGCTCCTATAACCCTGACAGTTTGGCCATCATTTCCCATGAAACTATTCCTGGCACATACTACTTACCAGGCCCAGTAAAACCAGAGCAGAGCCCCCCAACAGAATCGCGTACATGACAAGAGCGGATCCTGCCTGTTATAGAAAAGCAGAAAAATGACAAGGTCCTTTCAAATCTGACGAAAAACTGACAAACTATAAAACCTGTGATGGTATTTCATAATACTCATGAGTGGAAAGTATTTCCACTAAAAACTAGTACGGGTCTTCTATTTTTTTAATCGACAATAAAAAACTTACACCAAAATGAATTGACAAAATTTACATCAAAACAAAAACAAAACAACACATAGCAAAGAATGTAACATGATCAACATATGAAGAGTGCGAATGTTTCTTCAGAAATGAAAAATTTTCAAGGACTGAAATCTCCCATTTATTAGTGAACACACAAATGTACATTTACCCTTGTCTGGGCTGTGTGCTAAGCCAATGAGTTTTTCCTGTCAGCAAGCAAGGCATCTTGTTACCAAGTTTCAACTTCCCTTTTGGGCTGACACCCAATGACAATCATCTGTACAGCATAAACTTTCTCATTTATTTTTTGGAGTGCCAAATGTGCTTCCAGAGCCACAGCACTCATTAGCATGTCCCTGCGCATTTCCAAGAGGCCAAAACGTCAACCTAACTCTATGCAACAGATTTGGATGCAGCCTTTATGAACGTGAACCGGGGAGTCAGGGTAGACTGCTCCCAGTCCTCTGTGGTGGCTCTCACTCCACATGCATGTTATAAGGGAGACAGGAACCAGGTAGCTCTTCGCCCCAGCTCTTCTACTCTAGTAAGTTAGACTGTGTCCAAATTACTTGGCTGCGGCATGAAATAACACAAGACTCCACTGGAAGTGGCCGCCGGCACAACCATAGATTCATGTGCAATCTTGAACCATAGCCAAGTACATGTATCTTAGATACAGCCTACCTTGTGCAAAGAGCCAGTGAGCAAGAAACATTGCATCTAGATTATGAACCTCATATTCTATCGCTCTCCTCTAGAGTATGTACCTCCAACAGATCTCAATCAATAAGCTGGGTGACTTTTTGATCTGTGCTTGATTGTGCACAAATTAATTTGGACATGACAAACAACAGAAAAAAGGGGGTTGAGAAGTTTGGCTCCAAACTGAGTCTCCTGTCATGGCACTTGACATAAGCTTTGTGTAATACTCACCAGGTCTCCAAATTCTTTCAGTGTCTGCCCACAAAGTGTTGTGTTCACTCCGCCAACAAAACCTGTGCAAGTTGAAATACACACACAGTGAAATAATGATGATCTTGTTCCTGGGAAAACCAAAACTAGCAGTAATGCCGACAATGTATAAGAAAGTACCATAAAACTTTTTTCTTTTTCAGTTGTCGTTACAGTGAAACCATTACTGAGAACTGTACTCTTAGGCTTTTAGCTCTGATAAACAGAACTGCAGTGGGAAAATCCACTAAGGCAAGCCAAATGCCAGCAATCTTTGGTTAGATTTGATTTGATTTATTTGCTTTTCCACAATACAAACACATGTATCGGTAGATACAGATGAAGGTGGAACACAGCCAGAAAAACAGTCATTGGAAAAGCAGAGATAAAGCAACACGAAATTTAGAAAATATTTTTCCGATGTTTTGCTGAGCAAATTCTTTTGTCTGCCTGGCCGATTTCTGTACAATTATCAGCTCAACAAAACTGAGTCTAGCTAAGTTTGCCCAGAACCGTCTTTCTGGTAATCATGTTTCTGGAAAGACACAAAATTGGATGAGTAAGACAGAGGTAAGACAAGATTAGTACTACTATTAGACCTACCGTATTGCTGCAGATAAATACATGAACCATCAGGGACAATGCCATCAGCACCAGTAACTGATACTGTGTACATTTTCACCATGACAGTAAAGATCATGGGGATAGTACAAGCGCCACCAAGAGCTAGCCAGATGAAAGTCAGAAGGTACAAAATATAGAGCGCCTAGGGTTTGAAAACACAAGAGAATCCAGAGTTGAAAAGGTTAAGAAAAAGATTTGGTTAATTGGTTAATACAGACCTATAAGTTCAGGTTTGTACAGAGTTGGTGAAGATTTGAAAGTCAAATTTAGGGAATGGATTCAGAGATTGTGTTAAAGTCAAATAACATTTTTGGAATCAAGTGGACCAAGTTCAAATCACTGTAAACACCACTGCAGTGTTTGGACTACTGCAAAGTCTGACAGTTTTGGGACAACTTCACCCCGAGATGAATGCTTGATGAGTACACCCCTTGGGCACCTTCAATCATGCAATACGCTATTAGCATACCATGTATGCCTTTTTAGTTGTTGGTATGCATACATGTATGCATGCATAGTATTGCACTACTGAATGCTGCCTTACTTTTGAGACCTAATTTGTTCAGTTGAAACATCTGAATAAGAGTTAATATGGGTTAAAACTTCCTGAGAAGTGAGCCAGGTATCCACAATAGTGCCACAAAAGATGGTGCAATGGATGTTAAGTCACTGAAATGCCACAACTGGGTAATCTAGAGTAACTTCACCTGAGTGAAATTTGAGTCACAAGCAGTTGAGAAAACAAATAAAGTCACCATACATACACAAGTAATTGTTTTTTGCATTTGATCTGACACTCGATAATGGACCCAAGGTGTGTTGGATAGATTAGCAAACTCACATACTTTTTATATAATCGAGTTGTCACTGTGGAATGTGGAGGACTTGGATTTGACGGGTACCTGGTTGCATTCTCTAGCGTCATAGGAAAGCACGCAGGAAATTAAGTTGGAGCAGCAAAAAAGGGTTAAAGCACCAATTTTGAGAGAGACCATTTGCAAAAGAAAACCCCTTTGTCTACCAAACATATGCACAGCCTGAGTATAAGTAAATACACATGGTAGTTGAAGATGCATTAGTATTGCAAGTTGCTGTCAGTGTGTTACTTTGACTTACCAGGCTGACACAGCCCATCCCTCCACAGCACACATCTTCATCGTCATACACTTGGACTTTACTCTGCTTTGTCGCTGCATAGCCTAATATGATGTAGATACATGCTATGACTACAACTACTGGTGTGATGGCATAGACAGAAATCCGGAGGGCATAAATTCTGTAAAGAACAGAAGAAAGAAGAAACTTCCAGTCTTCAAGCAAGTCAGAAACTCATTTCTGTTGCTCTTTAGTCAAGACAGGGCTGAGATATACACCTAATGCACCCTGCTCAAGGGTGGTCCACAAAAGGAATATTTTCATTTACATATGCACGCATGTGTATGATGCTTAAGTTCCAACTTGAAAACTTTTTCTTTTTGCAAAAAGAAAAAGTTCTGAATAACATTTGCTAACAAAGCACACACGTATAGACATGTACTCATAGACAGTATTAGGGTTTAAACTTGATAGGCCGACTAATTCCCAAATATTTTGACCCCCCCCAAATTTTGCCCCCCCCCCCGAAATTCAGTTCTGTATCTACCCTTGCAAAATGTACATGGAATGTCTAAACAATTTTGTAGCATTATTGGCATAGAGTGTACTTGTGATACTCACCTTTGTTTGTTTTATTTTCAGATTGGTGTAATTAACTGTAAACAAAGATTTCTTCAACATTTTATGGCCGTCCTGAGAAGTGAGGCTAAATTTTGTGTCTTTTTGGATGCTTTTAGAGGGAACGTATGTCGAATAACCCCCCAAAGTGTACCTTTATCATTATTTTTCAATAACAAAAGGACAGCTCCTTTGGGGAGCCATGCCCCCGACCCCACCCCATCCTAATCCACTGATGCATTTACACTGGTACTCAAGTTTAACAGAAAATATATCAGCACATGTTGATTTTTCTACAAGGATATTAACATAAATTTTTAGAAATCTAAATTGTTGGGAAATGCTTTTACCAATATTAACATGTCCATTTTTTATATGGCCACAAAGTCGTGCGTGTACATGTACAAGTAGAACACATCAGATGAAGACGTTATCCCATGTCAACTTGCAGGGGGCACTTGGGAGCCTTCATTTTCTGGAAGGGGGCACTCAGTTAAAACATTGACCAAGGTGGAAGATCACCAGGTTATTTCCTTTTAAAATTTCTCAGTGGGGGAGGGCCCTCCCCTCCCCCAGAGAAAATGAAATATTCATGGAAAAAAACACCAGAGGCTTTGAGGGCCCTACAGCAGCAAGTTGGCTATAGTATACAAGGCACCACTTAAAAATATCCAGTTCTTGTGTACTATTTTAACATTTATTTGAAAAAGCCCTCACCTGTAAACTTATGGTTTCCCAAATCTTAAAAGAGACTGTTTGAAATATCCAGAGAATCGGGAAAATTCTGATGGAAAAATCCTGACAGATCTCACCCCTGCATTAATTGATAACATAACACATTGTTAAACTGTATGTAGCATCTTACACTGTTTCTGCGTCCAGTCCAGTTTTACTGAACATATCTTCAGTGTCCCTCAGTGCGGTCAGGGATGCTCCACAGAAAAGCCCGATGCCACAGTACACAAACAAGGCTGCCACAATGGAGCCATAGGGCAGGTATTTCATTGAACATCCTTTAACAGAGTAGAAAGAAAAGGAGTATCCAAGTTAAATCAGACATCTTTTGAAATCTTCAGCCTGCAATGGCAGTTGAATAAACAAGACAATAAAAAAACAAAAACTATAATAGCTTAGCTTCCAACTACATGTACATGGCATCTGAAAAAGGATATTTGGCAATTTGTTTGTTTGATTTTTTGGGTTTTTTTGTTGGAGGGGGTTCAATGTTTTATACTGATTTATTTTGCTAACCGGTTAAAAGTAACAGGGTGTGATCCCTGGCTACATGGTGTTTCAGGTTTAATGGCTTCTGGCTAGTGCCCCCTGAACAGAGATATTGACAAATGGGAAGAGCCACCAACATGGGGCTGGATAGCTCAGTTGGTAGAGCACTGGTACGGTATTCCAGAGGTCGCAGGTTCAAATCCCGAACAGAGATTTTTGACAAATGGGAAGAGCCACCAACATGGGGCTGGATAGCTAAGTTAGTAGAGCACTGGTACGGTATTACAGAGGCCGCAGGTTCAAATCCTGCTCCAGTCAATTTCTTTGTTCATCCTTTTGCTATATGATTTGTTTCATGGTTAAAAATACGGTAACAGCAAGTGAAATCAACTGCCATTTAATTCAAATGAAATGACAAACACTTTACAGGGTGCTACCAGTAGTTGCATGCATAAACAAGTCCGCTGGACCTTTTGCACCACATTCAAACTAAAACAGCCACATTTTTCTTCATGTTAAAATTTTACAATTTTCCCAAATATTTCCCCTAGAAACTTAATGCACCATCAAAATACATATAGGTGAAGAAGGGAAACAGGAAGCAAAACAATTTGTTTTTCTTTTGCAAAATCCCAGCTGAGAACAATTTCAAACGTTATAATAACATACATTCCTCATTTCTTGGAAGTGTCTTTGGTTTTGCAGAGGTTTTCTGGTACTACATGTATCTGGAGATTATCAGTTTATAAATATCTTAAGTGGCATGCTCTAGCACACACTGGTACACATGCATGTACCATACCGTTAACTATCTGTGAGCTACCATAGTGCATGTACAGTTTACACAACTCAATAAGGATTGATGGATTGTGTACAAAGTTTAAGCGGCCACAATACATGTACTTGTAGATATTTTGAATTTTCAAATGTACTAATGTCCTTCCTAATTACAAACTCAGATGGGGAATTTAAAGTCATATCATTATCCTTCACATAATTAGCATGTTACAGCCTGAATTTTACACGCACAGCAATAATTACACCTGCACACACACAACACTGGGTGTGGTGCCCTAGTGCAATCCATACACAAGGTCAATTGAAACAAGGCAATTTTTTTTGTGGCTTTATTTATCACAGTATTAACACAAAGGACGGGTCAATCATCATTTGAACAACACACTGATATTGCTCTACCCTAGCAGCATAGTAAGTGGATATCAGTGAAGAGATCTTGTTGAAGGAATTCAGCATGTGACTAATTGACAGCATGTAAAAATTTACCTTTGTAACCAGGGGATTTTTTAGATATAAATAAAATTTTACTGGGCTAATAAACTACCTGTAAAAGCAAGCATAATGCATGTAATGCAATGCACGCACATGTACATACACTGGACATAGGGTGGGGTGTGTCATACTTAATAATCAGTATCCATGTAGACTTTGACCATGCTGATGCAGGTACAAAATACATACACAGTAACCATTAGAGTGGTCATGTAATAATTGAAACACCTGACTCACATACCGTGGAGGCAAGGGAGGGGGATAAATATTACATCACAGGGATTTCCATCCAAATTACAATTCCTTCCTTCAAATGAGACTTTAATGACATTATTATGTAATCATTAATACAGAACAAAACATGTCTGACTCTTTTCATGTAGTCCTTGTCAACTTGATCTACTGAAGATTGTACAATGTACATATAGTATGCAGAATGAACCAAACCAACAACAAAGAAAAAATTTAGCAAGTTCAAACAATGAAATTTTGAACAAGTACCGTTTTCCTTTTCAGCCCCTCATTTTGCCAAGTAAGCTTGCACAAATTCTACCAAATTGTTCCATTTTGTAAGTCAGTTCCATAAGTCAATTATGTGATTCATTTGGGGAAATCAAACTGAAATCAAAACCCTTTTTATGTGATACCAGCAAACACAAACATGCAAATCATGTTTTGTTTAGAGTAATGTCTATCACCATATATGCGAAATTCACATTAAACTGAAGGGAAAAGCCAATGTACAGCAGTGAAGCTTGGTTGTTATGTAGATTGCCACAATCTAAAGCAGAATATCTATGCCATAGTGCTGTATATATAGAGTGCTGACTTGCAGTACAAAGTACAGCCTGCTGGGCGCTTCCACATTATGACCAAACCTATAAAAAACTTGACATTTTGTGGGGCTGTTGCATGTCCGTATTCTTAAATAATTCGTCAAAAAAGTTGACATGTCAAAAAAACCTGAAATGCAAAATGAGCATTTAGTTTTGCTCAAACGAATTTGTATAAGCTGCAGCTACTTTAAAAATAACTGAATGATGGAAAACGGGCCATATGTCATTTCTTGAACTTTGCATTTATAGTATATGTACGTAATTTAGAATTTGTTCCATCTTATTTCGATATGTTCCACAAATACACGTGCATGAATTCAAAATGTCTATGCAAAGGAGGTGTCAAAGCTTCTCTGTGCAGGGAATGACGAGTTAGCACTCTGGTAGTGGTACATGTAATTAATACAGCTTTGTGAAACTTGGCATTCCTAAAGAACCAGAGATTCTGTCACAGTGGATTGAACCATTGGGAGAAACATGCAAATACTAACACTACTCCACGTGGTGAAAAAGGTTTCACAAAAGCTGGAATATACATATAGTCTAGATTGAGTAAAATGAAATACAGTAAAAGAAAACTTTAGATTTAGGTTAGTAGGGTTTTAAAAAGTCATGAATGTTGGAGCTGTGCCTGCAACAATACAAACTGTACTGTGCATGTACGTGCATGATTATCATATGTGTATCTCATACATATTCACGATTGAAAGTCAAATTTATCCGGTTTGTAAGTGTGACGTTACTTCAGTTTAAACCACGCCCACTGCACATGCATTTCGCACAGAGTTACATGCATTGATCGCCGTTTACATGGAACCATGGAACCGCAAGTTAATGCACAACTTCAGCCATCGACCAATGGGAGCCTGCAAATCGTGACACGTCCGCATGTATGATGAAGTCACTTACAAACCGGATACTGGTCCATTCATGTTCAATGGCATTCCATTCAATGGCAGTTGCCATTTTGCTTTATACACCAGGTGAGCAAGTACCAGACTGAGTATGGATCCATGCACAGGTCTAACATGCAAATGCAGTAAAAAAAAACTGTAATTTGGATGATGTATCCATACATATGCCTACGTACTGGTATATATATGAACAAAATTTAAGTTCATATTTACTAATGCAACACAAGCGGAACACTGGAGCTACAGCACAATGTAGTTTCAAACTAGTGTGCAAAGTGAACATAAAATAAAAAATGAAAAGAACTCTGGGTCTAACGGATTACTTACCCATCATTAAAGTGATTGTACTTCTTCCTTTAGACAAAAATCTCAACGCTCTGTCAGTTTACGGTGGGAGTGTGAAAGACTACAGTGGACTCAGCAAGCACACTGCATGAACTTATGTTTGTGGGGTGTTCCCTCTGAAAGCAGTGATCTTTGGAACTGTGGAGTGGGGAAAAACAAACACAGCCTGTTATCATCACAAGGCTTGGCTGATTGGGACTGTCCACACTGAGAAATGGGGCCAGGGTTGCTTATATGTGGATTGTGCTGCTTACATTGAACACTGATTGACCTGCTCATGATAAATATTTCAAGTGTACATTCAGCTTTTATCGGTGATGTGACAATTCAATGAGGAAATGCCCCGTTCTATTCAGCAGCTCTCATACCGTAGTGAAACTGGTTGGATGTTCAAATTTTTCATATACTACCTGACCACAGACACCAGGAAGACATCAATACTGATTAATGATTTATTCTTTCCCCAATTCTCTCCAAATCAATGACACTGTGAACTTCACTGCACTTTGCATAAGTGGATTATTTAAGGCTGGGAAAAAATCTCACACTGCACACAGTTCAAGAACAAAAACAAATTGTGAGAGAGACATATTCCCATTCTTTGAAATGGGCCACAATTGAAAGTATAACTAGTACTGTATGTATTTCTTTGCATCATCTTTTCATATACATGAAGGTGTTTATTTTGTGTATCACTGTTGAATTAAAACTTAGAACCCAATGGCAAAAATCACATGTTACACGTTTACAATGTGCTTTATTTACAGATGCTATGCACGCATCAAAGTTAAGTAAGTTATTAAATAGTTGTTGTAACTATCAGGTACATGTACATGTTTGTAGAAAACATGAAAAATGTACCTTTGGTGCAAAAATAATCACATATTATATAAATAAAGCATTGATTTACACGTGATTGCAGACATATCAGTACAACACAACAGAAAATAAATCTACCCAGCATTTTAGATGTTGCGTTTCATCTTTTTCAGTGATAACTGATTGTATGTAGGGGTCCCCTTCCCATTGTGTTCATTAGCTGAAACAAATCTGTTACATGTACATATACTGTACCATGGTTTCTTACATATACACAAGCATCTCTTGGCCTTGTTTGTTACAAAGCTTAAACTGACAAAAAGACAGTCATGAGCAAGTAATAAGCTAACTTGTCAGTTCTATAGGGTTGCGGCAGAAGATTGTTTTAAATGTTGTTTGGTAGGAGCAATGATTTGTGCTCAATTACCAGATGTCCATTACGCTATCCCTTCTTCATTAGGGCAAGATCAGGTTACCAGAAGTAACATGTGGCTTTTAGAAAAAAATACTGGCAATATACCACTTCCATTTGCTACATGCAACCTGACAGTGTCTGGCTCGACAGTAAAGACAACAGCTGAAAGAGATTACTAATGCCAAAAACTGTTAGTTAATTTTGGATTTTTGCCCTACCTGACGTGTATTTGACACTGTGTATGCCCCCTGAATGCTTGTGATCTCAAACCCACAACCTCCTGCTTACTAGTGCAGACATCTTTTTCACAAGCCTTCAGGGGGCATACACAGAGTGTATAGTGTTAAACACGTCAGGCAGGGCAAAAATCCAAAATTAATTAACATCTCCCCAGCCCAAATCCATTCTTGAAAAAAAAAACTATTAGGTTAAGAAGTTGCATGATCATCGATGGTGTAATTGAACTATGGCAGCATGACTGATCATCGCACAAAAGTAAGACTGTGGAATAAGTGCAGTGTGATTGACTTTAACTTTAGCACAGATCAATATCATCTGCTTACATGTCAAAGTACTATCAGCACCAGGCCCAATCAGACCTAGCCTACTAAACATAGCCTGCTTCAGACTAGCGCAAAATTGTAAGTTGGGAAGTTGGGCCAGTCCTCCAGCAGTACAATATGGAACCAAGTGTGTAGCTTGAATTTACAACCAAAGTTGCAAAATAAATACAACTCGGAGTCACAACATAAAGTTCAATCAACAGATATCCAAATGCCATGAGCTTCATAAGTGCCTAAAAAAATCCTTGTCATCTCACTGGTTGATGATTAATCATGTGTGATTGAATTTTTCATTGTTCCAACACATGGCCATGTAGCAAAAAATAGGTGCTCCGTACCATTCCCCAGTAGATGGCCCTTGGCTTTGGAAAATGCCCCCCAAATTGCCAAATTGATCGATTGATTGATTGAAGTTCCATCCGCTGCATCTTGGTCACAATGCTGGTGGCCATATTGCAGCTCCTTACCCAAAACAGGTGAGGAAGGGTTTATTAAGGGTAAATTCAGGTTAACAAGCAACAAATGTTTCATATTCACAATAAAAAAGTTCAGGCCTAATGAGATGACAATAATTCTTGGAGAATTAGACCTATAAAGCAGACATTGTTGAGGATTGTTCAGGCATCCATAAAAGAATTTGTCTGCAAAGAGAGCAAAATTTGTGATACCTTCACGTTTTAATTCCTTCTGCAAATACCAGTTGAAGTGATAAAGTCGTTGCTACATTTGGGATTGAGGCAAAAATTCTTGAAGCCATTCTTTGCCTTATTAATTACTGTAAGGCGACGAAGTGAAACTAATCCCAATCTCGTTCTCTCAGCGTAGGGCATCTTCAAGCAGACGACTGGGAATGGAGTCAATTACAAGTCATATGACACATTAAATAAAAAAATGAGACTACATGTACTTCGTTTCCTTTCAAAGCAGTATCCATTCTTAACATGTATTCTTAAACAAAAAGTTCTGCTTTCAAGCCTTGTAGAATAATAGACTCCATCTCTGCTCGCACACCATGGGCACACAAATTTTCTGAGAAAAATAAATTAAACCAGAGCAAGTCTGCTATATCAAGGTAATCTTTATTCCGCTTGAGAAACATGATAACTGTCACGATAATAGTATACATAACCCACAACCCACCCAACACTGTGTTGTGCAACAGTCAGCCTAGTAGTACTAGTCCATCCTTTTGGAAATCGCAGCACGCCACACGATAGCGTCGATACCATTTGCCTTTCAGAAAAATCTGACGAGACGCTGAGAGGAATTTCACGTGCGTACACCACCTGTATGTGATCAGGATGGCCCTGTAGTAATGGCTTCTCATTTTGGTCATCAGATTTGTCTATATGTACATGTAGGGAGGTAGTCAAGTACATGTAATATACTTATTAATTTCTTTTATTTACTCAGGGTTGCCCATTCACATTAGTAATGTACATGTATGTGGTCTTCCATGGGGCCCTGCAGAAAAAGTTATCAAATTATATTACATTAAAACAATAGTAAAACAAGTACTCAGCACAAAAAAATGATTTAAAAAACTAAAAAAACACTGGATAAGAGAATACGCAAGGAATAAAAAAGTAATGAAAACTGGACGATAAAAATAATAGAAACAAAACATATACATGTATAGCTCATGATGTGCAAAAAGTATAATGTAGTGTAATGCAACATACAATCACATACACTTTATACAAGCATATACCAAACCAACAACATACCCAAGAATATCTATAATTAATTGAATTAAAAAAATAAAAGTAAGAGTTGAATTAATAAAACAAAACAAAAATTAATTAAACTACACGTAGTTGAAAAATTACAAACAATCTTAAGTGGCAAATGCTATGAAGACGGTGAATAAAAAAAATGGACGTTAAAATAGCTAGAGTATTAAAAAGATGACAAAAGACTTTGTTACATAGCCTTTTAAAAATGCTCCAGCATGTCCAGTGAAGGTGAACATCTAATGTTTAAACCTAAATTGTTCCAAATGGTAATAGCTGTTACAAAAGGGCAATGCTTATGGCTGTCAGTTCTTTACTTAGGTACAACCAAGTGCTCTGACCTGATCTGTCTCGTACCATGCCGGTGCATCTAATCAACTTCAACACAATGTTCTGTAAGATACGCTGTAGTTGTGCGGACATACATTCGATATTCACCTATTTTGTGGGGACCAAAATGTTGTGAGGATTCGGAAATGTCCCCACAACTCAGTTCAAATTTCCCTAGCAAAAGAACTTGTCCCCTGAACGCGGTGAATGCCTACCCATTTTGTACATGAATACTGCTCTCAAATATAAAAATCATTTTGCTGACAGAAGCCAGCTTATTTCTTCAAATAATTCTCTTGAGGGTGTGTCACATCTTTTATTCAAACTTAACTTGGTGGCATACTTCTGAAGCTTACTGAGTTTGTCTGTGTGTGAAGACAATCTTTCTGACCAAATTTGAGAGCAGTAGTCAAAATGCGACAGACTAAGTAAATACATTAAAAGTAATGATGTAATGGGTCACATTATGGGGCTATAGAGAAGGGGTCAGACTACATGTGCTGTTGGTGTCAGTAAATTTTCATACGACATGGTGCGAGCAATGCAATCAATACGCTACACGTACATCATATCATGCCGTATGATGTAAAACAGTCGAACACAGATAAGAAGAGTGCTCTTAATACAAGGTCATATTATATGCTTGAACAAAGGTGTCGTAGAGGTAGTTCAAGTCAATAATTGATCTACTGCAGAAAGCTGATCTGTGTTGCATCGGTACACTTCAAAGCACTTGGAGTTTGCAGCAATAGAACGAATACATTTGATGAGAGTGAACTGTCACTGTTGGACTTTCTTGGTCTAATTCTTCTGCCTTTTTTGTGTTTTAAGTAGAAATCACAGGAAACTGCTCGCACCAGCCCCGCAACCACCTTGTATAGAAGTATTATACAAGGCAAATATTATAACATGGTAGGCCTAGGCCCTACAGGTAATTTGTAAAGTCCCCAGGACCTGAAAGTGCTCCACTAACTAGTCTACGTGTAGCCTACACATTCCATTCACATTCACCTGTTCACAGAATGGTGGATCTTCCCCTCTGTCAAGAGTGTAGCTCTGTTCAGCATATTCAGAGAGAACCGATCACTTGCTTGTCACTCCACTTGACGCTACATATCAAGATCTATGTGAATATACTGTTTGATGTCATCAAATTAAAGTGTGTGATGTTTCCTTCAACATGAGTGTGACGACTCGCTGAATAAAATACAATGCATCATTACATGATCACGATGATCATATACCATGCACACTTGATAAATTGACAGACTTTTACACAAAAAGCGCCCCCATTGTTGTGGTAGCTTTTCGGTACCACATGAAACTATGCTGCATCCGAATCTGTTGTCTAGAGCTAGGTCTAGGTCTGCACTCCATTGGAAATGCGTGGAGACGAGCAGACAGTACACCTAGCCGTAGTTCTTGAAGCCCGTTCGGACACGGCTTAGAAGGAAAAAAGTCTACCTCTATGCTGAAAGAATTTATCGAAGACGCGTTTTTTTCTTCAAAAGTAAGCCTTGAATTCAAAGCTGCGTGTCAGTGCATGATTGGGTCCAGCTTTCAAGCCTACTTGGGCCTCATTTTCCGGACAGAAGCAGATACCGGAGATACCGGGGGAAAGAGAGATATACCCCCCCTCATTTTTGGGGGGGGGGATTACCAATATAATCACCCCCTCCAACACACACACTTTTCAAGTCACTGACTTAATGTGCACCCGTAGCCTGCACCGCCGACTCCGCACTTGACACTGAGCATCATGATCTCACCCAGGATGGAGGCTGGCTCGATAGATGAATACAAAATCACCCCACCCCACATGTGACAAGAAATCTCCGCCCATGAATAGCCTTTTGTAATGTATCTCTACACTCTTCTTTTACCTTTCCTGTCTCCAATTTCGGGGTGGAGAGTGGAGTGTGAAGGGGACACAGTTCCTGAACAAACAGGGGGCGTTGCCCATCCCTAGCCCTCTCTGTGATGCAACCCACCCGTTTATTTAAAAAACGAAATTAGTGAGCCTCCAGTACATTAAACCACAGGGTTTTTGTTTAAGAATTTTCAATCATGCAGCAGCATCGTTCTCCTCAGTCCTTAAAAAAGATTTTTCACATTCTTTAGTCTATTTTAAAACCACGATTACCATTTGGCTTAAGCTATTGATATTTTGATACATGTTTCGATACTCTACTATCCCTGACTTCAACTTTGATTTTTGAACAGCCGTAAGAATTAGTGAGATGGCTTACAACGCCCAGACGCCGGAGACCATGAGAAGTTTGCAAGATGAACAGCATTAATTTTCCACAACACAGAAATGAACGTTCCTTTTTAAATAGAAAAGAATTCAGCCCAGTTATTCAAGCATTAACCCCTTGAAGAGCGTAACGGACGCCGCCATTTTTCTTACTTAGTACAAGTACCACTACCGGCGAAAACTAGTTTTACGTTCCCGGCGTTCGAGCAGCCAGCGCAAGAGTAACATATCGACTTGTTCTCGAACATACGAGAACAAACCGCCTGAACTCAGCCGATTCACAGCACAAATATTTGGATAATGGAAGGACTGGACAAGTCTATGGAACCGGTTCCAACCGGTTCTGGGGTGTCAAATTAACATTTGTCAGCCTGCCAAACCCACCTGTGTTCGTCTGCCACAATTTATTTGAGCAGTTGTTTTAGTCCAATCAAGTTGCACCAATTGGCAAGGTGCAGTCATCCTACCAACTTGTGACCAATCGCAATTACGTTTCAGCATTACGTCAGAACGTCCCGCCAAAGCGCTTCTAATTACTTCTGGAAAATAGGGCCTCATAAAAAATAGATTTTCGCAACATGCTATGAATATTTTCTAATTGGCTTGCTCAAATCGTTCATGATTTAATTAATCTACCTATCCTGCCTTATGTTTTCTGTTAGATAAAGACAGAAAATCATAATAACTTCTCATCGGCGGATAAATATACTCGGGGTCACCACACGAGGTATGTGGCGCTATACGATCTTTGGTCCGCGGCATACATGGTTTGTCGTCTTTTTACTTCTATCTCATTCCGCGGTAAACTTTCAACAGGAGAGGACTTTCGAAGTGTCCACTTTCTGGAGCGCACAAATTCGCACAATTTAAGGAAAATTGTGGATACGTTTGGCAACATTTTTGCATTCAATTTGTCACGAAATGGCAATACATTTGGCATGACCACCTGCCACTGAAGTTGAGTAACCTGGTTGTCTTCGCTAGCAAAAGTTGGAACCTATTCGGAACATTTCTCTTCAAAAGTAGCGACACTGCAAAGTGGAATTTCGTCGACTACGGGCTACATTGAGCGTGTTCGGTACGGATCATCCAAACTCTGAACAGGGACAGCGGACTTCAAGCAAAAGAAAACGGGCATTTGGAGCTCATACACTCTTCAAGATTTGGCACAGCCTCTTGGTGTATTTGTGTGACGGTGAACTGAAATTAGACTTGAACTGTAAGGCAAGTCCATTGAATTGAAAATTGCCGCTCGTTTCTCCCTGAACCTGAATCGCACCTTCCCATGCCAAAGTGAACCGAAACGAACTGCACCGTCAAGCGTAGGCCCTTAACTGTTTAAGCTCTATGGACTTGGTGTGAATCCCTCACAGTTTTGGAAGCCGCCGCCTAATTGTTCAAATCTTCTGGAGCTTCTGATAGGTCGGCAGAGGTGAGTCTGAGCACAAACTGGGTGAGTAAGATGTATTACTTTTTGCCTTGACTTTGGCTTGTGATCTAGGCCTAGTGGCCTACTAAACTATGTTAAAAAAATTGTTCATGCAAATGTGTCCTTCGAATAAATTTTAAGCGACCTCCCCCCCTGTTATCTGTTGCCTTGCTTATGTACCACAAACTAGGTCCTAAATTTCAAGTTGAACTAAGATTTATAACTTTATAACGGTCAAGAAATCATTTGACGGTACGTGTCCTATTATTCGGCACAAGAATTCGTCTGGCGCGTGCGGGTATTGGCACGTGCGAAGAAAACAAAAGAATTACGGCGTGGGCTACATCCTGTTGATTGACAGTTTGGGGTTTCAAGCCAAAGAAAAAGTTTTTCCGCCAGGTGTTGACCTGGTTGACCCGACCAGCCAGTCAGCATATTTTCTTCACGAGAATTACCAACAGCTGGGGCCCTTTTTGTTAAGAAACTAGTGGCGTGCATGCGAAACTTTGTCATGAAGTACAGAAGACTCCTGGTTTTCATTGTGTTGTGGTTGAACTTCAGCTTCTTTTGACTAGCTTTTTAGGGCTTGACTCAATACAATGTAGCCTATGTTTGAAATACTCCAAGAAGTTGATCTTCTAGTTGTAGAATCAGTATATATAGTAACTTTACCAGAGAGGTTGGTATTCCAGTGGAAGTTAATGAATCTTCTTCTCAATTGCTTCCTTGAAATATCGTTTTAATGCACATGTGCCAAAATTTTACAATACCTTTTTTGAAATAACAATGTAAGAGAAAAATAACTATGATGTGAAAATATTTCTTAAAATGCTGTTTCAAATAAGGTAATCAGGTATTAACCCATACGTGACGATGGCTTGATAATAGTGAAAGAATGGGGTCTAGTGTCTGCCGCAATTAGGAAAAATGAGACAACAAATATTTATCATGCGGTAATATGTTTGAAGATAGCCAAGTGGTACAATACTCAGGTTTATATGCGCTCATCGTCCACATCTCGGAACACGCGGAAGAGAATCGGTATTCATAAAGTCCAAGTAAAATCGGCTAAAGAGAGTCCAAAGGAAAGTAAGAGAAAAAGTCAAA